AAATTTAGGTGAGTTGTCAAAATCAGGATATACTTCTAATTTTAAAGAGCGCTTACAAAGTGTTTTGTATAATTTAATTTCATCAAGTTGAAGCTAACTCGAAAAAGTCTGGCTTGGCAGATAAATCGATCAAATGGGTAATGAAGTTAGTAAAACATTTCCTCTTGACACCTAAAAATGAATCAATAACTTGTTTTTTTCACCACGTTCAATATTTAATAAAAAAACTCATTTTCTAGTGTAATTACAGAGCATAGAGAATGTCATTTTACATCCCACCGAAGTTTTTTTAACAATTTTTTACTGTCAACTAATTCATATTTAATTGTTAGATTTAGATGGCTCAATTTTTTTCTTGAAATGAAGTTACATTTTTATCCTGTATGGATTTGCTTACAAATGGATTCATTTTCTTTTTTTTAATTTTTATATTATAAATTGATGATTTTATTTAGGAAAAATCCAAAAAAAAAAGGTGTTAAGTTTTAAAATTCTAAATCAGAAATTACTATAAAAATATGTTATTATTTACTTTTCAAGTATTGTCATTTTCTTTACAAGCGTAGTAATAAATATTGATTTGAAATTTTAAAATTCAAAAGTCATTTTTTTGAATTTTTTTCCTTTTATTTATTCCATTTAACTATAAATATTATTAAATGTAACATTACAATATGTACATTCTCAATTCTTCTTTTCTCAACCCCGATTTTTAAGCGTGAGGAAACCCTTTGCTTATTTTTATCCAAAAAAACGTTGTTTCTTATCATTTCCTTTTTTTTTTTTTTAACAACAACGCTCAATAGTATTAGCTTTTCAACAGTCATTTTCATTAATTTTATACATCTAAAATATAAATTGTAAATCAGCCCCTCACATTTATGAGCACAGGAATAGAGCCGTCAAAATGGGATGAACTCGTCGGGTCAGCTCATTTTAGCCTTTTTAAATAAAAAGTTAGGCTTATATTTTAAGAGGTTCAAAAAAACAAAGACTTAAAACAATTAGCTTTTTAGGGCTCAGAGAAAAAAAAGCCAGCTCGTTAGGGTTGAGAGCTAGTACTTTTAAGTCCGCTTATTTTTTTAATTATCATGATATTTATACAATTACATATTGGTCTTTTATAGATAAGTCTGAATTAGAAAATTATTTAGAAAAACTAATCCTTAGTTCATATAATTGAAAACAATTAGATGTCTTAAACTGGGGGAATGACGATTAAAATTAATTTTCAATTCTTTCAAGGATGGCAGTTGATATTCCTAGTATTTCAAATACTATAATAGCTAGTGAATCTTCCTTTATCATCAGTTTACATGTCTTAACAAATTATAGAAATTCTTTTATCCTAACAAATGTTTAATCTCTCATTTGCATTCGTAACTACTACATAGGTTTATTTTAGATAAAGGTGATAAAAATAAAAACCTTAATATTTTTATCACTGAAAAAGAACCCACATCTACTGAAAAATAATCAAATATTATTAATCTCGTTGACGGTGATGAAGATGTAGATAACAATCATGTTGATATTATTAATCTTTAGTTGTTTATGGCTCGTTTGGTTCACTGAATCTAGGAGAATGTAATACAATGTATTATAATGGAATGGAGACCGATCAAGATGAAAGCAAATTTTAGGAATCAAAATTACTACTTTCGAATTTCAGCACAAAATCAAAATAAGGATAAATTTCAGTAATTCAGAATTATATCAACTGTAGTTTTTTATCTTGATTTTTCATTTTAAGGGTATTTCCTTTATTTTATTTTTTTTAAATATAGAGTGCAAAGAGTTTTTCACTCCATATTTTTTGTAATTCGAACTTATATTTTTTTTTATAAAGATAAAGTGATTTATCACTTTTTTTTTTAATATTCCTTCAAGATTCAGAACGCAAAAATTTGTATTTGTATTTTCTTTCTTTTAAGGTTGTTTCCCACCTTTTCGTGTGAAGTTTGAGACGTCCAAAAAATGTGTCGGCCGGCTTGCTTCCTTTTTTTTTTTAAGTAATATTTATTTATTTGTTTCTTTATTGGAGTTCGTGTTTTGTCCACTTTGAAGGGTAGGAATTTGCATTGGGTGCTCATCAGAATCTGGACGGTCCATATTTTTTTTTATTTTTTTATTTTTTTAAAAATAATTATTTTAATAGGTATAGAATAAAAAATAAAAATAATCTCTTAACTATCATGCTTTTAAAAAATAATTTTTTTTATTTTAAAATAATTATTTAAAAATATTAAATTTGAACCGTCCAGATTAGATCTGGACGATCCAGATTTCTCATCACTTGATGAGCACCGAATGCAGGCCCGGAGGGTAGCTGCTAATAAGGACGGCTCTAAAAAAATAAATAAAGGAAATACCCTTAAAATGGAAAATCAAGATAAAAAACTACAGTTGATATAATTCTGAATTACTGAAATTTATCCTTATGTTGATTTTGTGCTGAAATTCGAAAGTAGTAATTTTGATTCCTAAAATTTGCTTTCATCTTGATCGGTCTTAAAAATTTTGGTCTATGAAACAAGGGCCAAATCCAGATTGAGATTACATTTTGAGGATTAAAATTATTAGTTTCAAATTTCAAGGAACAAGACTAAAATAAAATCAAATTTTAAAGATCAAAACTATTGGTTTTAAATTTTAAAAATTAAAATTAAAATAAATTTTAAAACTAAAAATTATATTAACCGAACAGAAATAAAAATCTCACCATATAACGCCATGGCACTGATGAGGCACATGTTTCACGTGGAAGACATGATCAGGAAAGTGGTTTTAGTGTTCATGAAAGGTGATGATGACTATCAATATCTAACTGTTGAAGGTCTAATATGGACAGTAAATATTTATTTTTCACTTTATTTTGTAAAAAAAAAAATCCTCCAAATCTTAAATGTAAAACGCTGTAGTGTAAAATTTTTAAATTAAAAAATTATTTTTTTAAAAAAAATTAATCATTAATCTTATTTTAAATCTGAAGTTTATGTACATATTATATTTAACATGTACATAAACTGCAGGTTTAAAATAAGATTAATGATTAATTTTTTAAAAAAATAAATTTTTAATTTAAAAATGATCAATTGAAAATTATTCCGATGTGATGGAAGAGAAAGAGAATAAGTTATTACTACTTTCTGATTGTATTGATAAGTCATTTGCAACATATTTATTAGAATAAAATTTTTTATCAAAATAAAAAAAATCTAAACCTATTAACTTTACCTTAAAATTAAACAAATTTTTAACTTTTATCCAATTTAATATATACACTTTTTAAGAAAATAAAATTCTACATAATAATAAATATAGGTAAAATGATATATTTATCACTAAAAATTTAATAATGTGACTTATAAATATAAGAAAAAATTCTTTCACTTATAGCTGCGGAGGACTAGAGCCGTCAAAATGGGCCAAGCCCATCGGGCCAACCCTTTTAAGCCCTTTTAAGTGGAGAACCGGGTTTGTATTTTAGGTGGTTTAAAAGGAAATTGGGCTTAAAAGGCCTAGCCCTATAGGGTTCAAAAATAAAATGGCCCACCGTTTAGGGCCAAAGGCTAGCCCTTTTAAGCCCGCCTTTTTTTTATTATTATCAATATATTTATAAAATTATAGATTAGTCTTTTATGAATAAGTTTAAATTAGAAAAATACTTAGAAGAATCAATACTGAAGCTAGATAATTGAAAAGAATTAGATGTCTTGGACTTGTAGAAGAACAATTGAAATCAATTTTTAATTTTTTCAAGAATGGTAGCTGATATTCTTAACATTTTAATCACCATAATAGCTAGTAGATCTTCATTTACCATCAATTTACATATCTTAACAAAGTGTAAAACTTTTCTTATTCAAACAAATGTTCAGGCTCTTATTTGTACTTATAACTACTGCATAGTTTTATTTTAGATAAGGTAAACGGAGACAAAAACCTTAATATTTTTATCACTGAAGAAGAGTTCACTTGTAGTAAAGAACAATCAAATACTGCTAATCTTGATGATACTGATGAAGATGAAGATAAAGATAATAATGATGTTGATATTGTTAATCTTTAACTGCTGGGTTTTATCTTTTTGTTTTTCGTGTTTTGTTAGATTTTGATTTTTTTTATTTTGGACAATAGTTTATTGGCATTTAATTTTTTCTATACACCACTAATTTATTTTACTTATATTTATAATTTGAATAAAAAATCTTGGAAGTTGTGTTGTTTTATTTTTTATTTTAAAATAATTAAAAAGAATTTAAATTTTAAAAAATAACATAAAAATCCAGCCCTTTTAAGCCCTGAGCCCTTATATTCAAAAGCCGGGCTTTAATAATTAGATAATTTTAAGGTATGTTGGCTTTAAAGGGTCAGACCTTTTAGGCCCTGGCCCTTCAAGGGCTAGCCTTCTAGGGCCGGGTTGACCCTTATTAATAACTCTACGGAGGACAAAAAAATTAAAGGGTGAGATAAAAAAAATACTTGTTACCAATGCCATTAGTAGAAAATTCACACAAAGTGTTGTTGTTAATTAATCGATTTGTTTGGATTAACTTGTCAGTTTCAAAAGGCATAAATCGGAAGAAAAACCAGAAGCAGAAAAAAATAGATTCAACTTTAAAGTAATTTTTGAGAGAAAAAATCAATTTATGTCTAAAATTATGTCAAATATAATTTCGGACGTAAATTGAAATTTTGAGTTGGAAAAGTCATTTTACCGTGACAAAATTGTTGGGAAAATAGTTGGTCCAAAATGTAATTCATCTATAGGGTACCTAATGATCCTTTATAATTTTATCTTTATTTAATTTTTATATTGGCTTATTATAAGGATGAAAGTGACTTATGAATGATGAGAATTATCAGGCGAGTGGTGATTCATTCCCCCCCCCCCTCCTTTCCTTTTGTCACAAAGTGAGTCATGATTGATTGATCCATCCAACTACTCCAACCCCCGTCCCCTGGCTCCCTCCAGCGCACCCCGCTCCCTCTTCTTTATAAACCGACCGCTTTCACTTTCTGATCACTGCACCCTGTTCTACTTTCACACATTGTTCTTTCCATGTAAGCCAAGTCCTGCGTTATTCTCTTCGTAAACTTTTACTTTTTCTTTTTTAAAATCCCTTGCTCTATATATATATGTATGTATGTATGTATATATATATATTTACATCATCCCATTATTCCGATCATGTTTCTTGTTTGGTCTTTGCAAGTTTCAGCTCAACTCTCCCAGAGATGTCCAAAGCCCAAGCTGCGTCTGCTGTTGAGAAGTATATAAATCTCTGTCTCTTCTTCTTTACCTCGGATTATACTTTTAACTCCATACTATGATTTAGTTAATGTTTAAAGAGGAAAAAGAAAAGTTACATCAATGGGCTTATAACATACTGATGATATGCTTACTGATATGTTTTAAGTTACAGATAACTTCAACCTTTATGGGTTTCTAACTCTGTGCTTATTGATGATGTTTTTCACACTGAATGATAAAATAAAACGTTTGATTTAGGTATCAGAAGTATTCTGGCAGTTCTGGAGGCGAAGGAGAAGAAGAAAGGAAGTCTAACTACTATGATAAGGTGAGAGATACTCAGATTTGGCAATCCAAGTTTTTGTTTTTGTTTTTTTTTTCCTAGCAATGAACCTACGTGTAGTAGTTCCAACTTATTTGTCTTTAATATTTTAATGAGCTTCATGTTCTTGAAATCACACGCGGCAGTTAAGTACTTGTTTGTCAAACTCCCATAATTACTTAGAAGAAGTTTTTTGTTTTGTTTTGTTTTATAAGACAAAATTCCTCCTACGTATTCATTTTATACAGCACAAAATCATTTAAAATTAAAGTCAATTACATTTCATAAGGCCAATGGAGGGAACTTGCTTTTGTGATCAATTAGTTCCCATGGGAGAATATTCTTGAGGGAAAAAAAATTAATTTGCAAGTTCTTATGGCTTTACTTAATTTTTAGTCATATTTTTTACTTTTTTTCCTTTCTTTTTATCATGTTATTATAGTTTTACCCTTGTAATTTTTTTTCCCTTTTTATCATATTCCTATAATTTTACCTTATTTTTAATTAGGTAATATTCTTAAGAAATTTTTAATCATATTTTTTAGTTTTTTCTTCCTTTTTATCATGTTATTATAGTTTCATCCTTGTAGTTTTTTTGTTTCTTTTTATCATGTTGTTATAATTTTATCTCATTTTTAATCAGGTCTTTGGACCTTCAATGATTGATAACAAGAAAAAAAAATAAAGATCTGATTAAAAAATTAGATGAAATTATAAGGACAAAAACTATAAAAACTTGATTAAGAATTAGGTAAAACTTTAAGAACCTGATTAAAAAAAACTACCAAAATCCAATTAAAAATAAAGTGAAATTATAGGGACTTGTAGATTAATTTTCTATAAAAAAAAAAAATCTACGCTATAATATTCTGCCAATTCTTTAAGATGATATATCATTTCTTCCATAATTGATTTTTTTTTTTGGGCCAAAACTTCCATAATTGATTGACTAAATGTGAAGACAACTTATATATAATGACATGTCCATTTTCAGTCAAATACATACTATGATGTTGTTACTGGCGCTTACGAAGCTTACTGGGGAGAATCCTTACATTTTGCATCGAGGTATGCATCTATCAAATTTCCTTTATTTCCACACTTCAAACAAATATACTTATCCGGTCTTTAATATAAAATCTAATTAATGAATTGATGTTAGTCTTATATATAATACATATTTTACATATTTATTAATTTTCTATCAGATTAATCTTATTGATATTCGCTCAACAATAATCAAGTGGGAAAATAGAGAGAATTAAAAAAGACACTTGGAGTGTTTTTAAAAAAATATATCATAATAACTAATTTAACTAACTTTCTTAGTCTACTCAAATTAGTCAATTAATTAAGTCTTATATTAAAGTTTAGAGGAGTACAAGAGCTTTTGCTTTTTAGCCTTTTTTGTATCAATCAATTTGGTTTTAATAATTTAGATGGAAAGGGGAAACACTTAGAGAGAGCATCAAGCGCCATGAGCACTTCATTGCCATGCAACTGGGCCTCAAGCCGGGACAAAAGGTTTTTCTTGATCTTCAACGCAACACAGCAAATTAATAACACTACTTATACTGTTCGTTTAAGAAAATAACTCATGAGCCGTTTTTTTTCCTTTCCTTTTTTCTGTTTGATTTTAGGTTTTAGATGTTGGATGCGGAATTGGGGGACCAGCAATAGAAATCTCTCGTTTCAGGTGAATGACAAGACTTGGGGAAAATTTCAATAAAATACCCTCAAAATTTTGAAATCCCAAATCAATCTTCTGAGTATCACGGACGCCAATGCAGTATGCAAGTATCAAAATGGGATTTCCAAATATTATCAAATAATTAATCAATATACCCTCAATCTTTTTAGGTGATTTACGACTTTTATTTAGCAATTCCCTATAATACAATGCAAAATATGAAAAAAGCTGTTGTCGCTTGTTAAAAGAGTTGTGGTAAATAGCTAATGCATTGTAATGAATTGCTAAATAAAAGTTGTAAATCATCTAAACAAAAAATATAAGGACTATAGGTCATTTGACAACATCTGCAAATCCCCTTTTGGTACTATATATTGAATTAACATTTGCGATATTTAGGATTCTGAATTGGGTATTTCAATGTTTGAAGATATTTTCTTTTTGAATTTCCCCAAACTCTTAACTCCCAAAAAAAAATATTTATTTAATTTGCAGCAAGACATCAGTTACGGGGTTGAACAATAATGAGTACCAAATAAACAGAGCAAAGGTATGTGTTTAATTCCCACTGAGCAATACGAAGATCCAGAAACAACGACTTTGAAATTTTTACTTAATCATTAAAACTAGTGTTTTTTTTTTGGCGAGAGTGTTTCATACTGTTTCCTTGTTTTATCTAATCATTAATACACTGGTTTGAGCATTAAGTATTTATCTGCAATAATGAAGTTTTGCAGTGGTCAAGCAGGTGTATGCATGTACTTAAAAGCATGTTTTTGGCTTACAGGAACTTAGTCGCTTACACGGCGCGGACCAGATTTGCGACTTCGTGCAGGTTAATGTTTTCTTCTTCTATGTTTTAAGTGTTGTCTGTCAAATTTTGAGAACATATGGTGGGCTTGATTCTGTATGTTACTACCTTTGCTCTTTAATATAAAAGTTAGTTAGAGAGTTGGATTTAGTCTTGATATAAGACTTCCATCTATTTTGTCTTTAAAATTTATAATTTTTTTTCAAAATATCTTTACTGATTGTAAGAGATTCCCATCAAAGATAGTTTCAATATACATAATTAAATAGGGTAGTTTAGAAAAGTAAACACATATTTTTTTGCAAACAACTAACTTAACTAATTTTTTTAATCTCTGCAAATTAATTGTGAAGGTCTTATATTAAGACTGGAGGTAGTAGTGTTCTCCTTTGATTATTCATGTCATGTGGATATTTTATATAGGCTTTCACTATTTCAAATAGATGATATTTATATTGCTCTGACTATTCATGCATATAATGTTTAAATTTGTTTGTGCAGGGTGACTTTATGAACATACCATTCCCAGACAATACTTTTGATGCAGTATATGCAATTGAAGCTACCGTTCATTCACCAGATGCTGTATGTGACTTCTCCACTCTCTTTCTCTATCTGTGACGACTTAAAATTATAAACAGAATTTAACCTGTGATCTTATAAAAGAGCATCTATGTAATTAGGCTACAAAGCATTTGGTGAAAAATTAATCTTTTTGTCTTTCTAGTTTTGGCTCAACTGTAACTTAGTTTTTAAATTAAACTTTGAATCAGTGTAATTCAGTTCCAATAGTTTTGACTCAATTAAAACTCAGTCCCTAAACTTTAAATATGGGGATTGGTTTGTAGTAAGTTAAAGTTCAAGAGCCAATTTTCAACTGAGTTATGGCTTTATGAGCTAAGTTACACTGAATTAAAGTTTAAGAATCAAGTTACAGCCAAGTCAAAACTATAGAGATTAAAAAATTAATTTTCCCTCTTTTTGTTGGGTTTAGATACAAATTTACTCTGGAAGCTTTCACTCAGGAGCATTGGGCATCTAAAATTTTTTTTTTTGACCCAAACTTGAGCTAAAAGTTTAAAATCGTAACAATATTATCATCTGACATTAAAAAACTCATGTTGACCATTAAAATAGTGATATTGATTGTTAATATTTTTAATGGTGGGGCAATATTGCTACCATTTTGAACTTTCGAGGCAAATTGGCTCCCAAGAGAACTTCCGGATACTTAATGCTCCTGAGTGAAAACTTTCAAAACAAATTTGTACCTTGACCCCCCCTTTTTTTTTTAATAAACAGGCCCAGAAATTTCAGATCTTTGTCATGAAGTTTTATTTGTGTTACATATGCACATACCCCTCCTGCCCTGACGCTTATTTCTTTTTTCTTTTTTTAATTCTGATTTGTTTAGTATGAATGCTATAAAGAGATTTATAGAGTGTTGAAGCCTGGTCAATGTTTTGCTGCATACGAATCAAGCATGACTACTTCCTTTGATCCTACTAACCCAGAGCATCAAAGGATAAAGGTATAATAATATACATAGAGGCAATTAAATAATTTAGGTTGACATTACTTATGAGTCATACCATGACTTTATTTGGTCTATCTACTTATCTCATATAGACCAAATTTAGCATTCCCTCGAAAAATTACTTTACGTTTTACGAGATAATATCCTCTCATGTATTTATCTCATACAACACAAAATTACTTAAGATAATCTAATTAAACACTCAAGGTTGCAATTCTATAGATCGCATTGATTGTTACAGAAAGAACTTTTGCTTGGTGGTGGCCTCGTTGACATCAGATCAACCACGAAGGTTCTTGAAGCTTTAAAGCAAGCAGGTTTTGAGGTGAACTTCAATCTCTTAATCTTTCACTAGTTTTTTTTATTACCAAGTAAAAGTTTAGGTGAGTTGAATATATAGGAATCATTAGGTCGTGCAATTCCTTCAAGCTCAAGGAACATTTACAAATATACTTACAGATCAAATTCCTCCTTAATAAAATCCTCACATAGATGATAGCGAGATCTAAACCTATGACTTTATGGATTATAGGCCAAATTCTTATTATCAGTTAGACTAATCTCCATTGACTAATTTTACGCATTTTATTGTTTGAGCTTTTAGATATGAACAACTTAATTAACTATTTTTTATCTCATTTGTTTGGTGTATATAAAGGTCATGTGGAGCAAAAATATTGCAGAGGACTCTCCTATTCCTTGGTATTTTCCTATAGACAAAAGTAATAACTCGCTGAGTACAAATGCTGTTCGACTTTTCAAAAGAAACATGGTAATGCTGCTAAATACCCAAGGCTATTATTTGTTTATTTTTCAAGCAATTTTTCAACTAAAATAAATTCAAATTTTATATGAAGGAGATGAATAATAATTTTATTTTATATTCGTTGACTGGCTTCAAATTTCGTAGCTTAAGGCTCTTGAGTTTGTTGGATTGGCACCCAAGGGAATTACCAAGGTTCAAGCTTTTGCGGAATGGGCTGCAGATGGACTAGTTGAAGGTGGAAAGTAAGTTTTATATTTATTTCTTCCATCTATTTTTCATTTTAAATACATATATGTATATGTATATGCAGAAGCATAAGTTTGCTTTTGGACAGATTAAATACAGAGTAGCTTAATTAGAAAAATTTATACTCTCTCTTATCCTTAATATAAGAGTTATTTAACTAATTTGTACAGAAAAAATAGATGAATTATTAGTTATAAGAGATGTGATCTGGTATCCATAAAATATTCTTGTACGTGTAGAATTAGATTAGGTATGTTATAAGTCAGATAAATTAGTTTGAGGAGAAAATAATTAATCTAAAGGATATAAAATAAATTAAACCCTTATATTTACAATCAAATTTCTAACCTCTCAACTTGTGACAAGATGTGAGGAAATTGATTATATATGAGTGATTCTTGTTTCAGGAAAGAGATCTTCACGCCAATGTTTTTCTTTGTGGCAAAGAAGCCTGCTGATTGAGACACTGTGGGGGGTTGAATTGTACTTCAGAATAATTGCCTTCTTATATATTGCACGTACGTTTGATGTCTGTTTTTCTGGCTTTTTCTTGTCCTTCCGATAATAAACTTGTGGTCTGGTCTTGGACTTTTGCTTGGAGTTGTACAGTTTGTATTTTTCTTTTGGGTGTTTGAGTGTCGAGTTTGGATTGAAACAATAATATATGGAATGTTTGTGCTAATTGTTGAGTTTGGTCTCCAGTCTTCTTTTGCTTAATCTTATTATGACATAAATTCTATTCACTCTCATCAAAATTTATCTATGAAAATCATAGGGTGTTTGGTTTCCAACCAAACGATGATTTTAAAAACAATTTTATGGTACATAATAAGTAGATGAGAAAAGTTTTATCTCAATTTACCTAAAAACACTTTTAAAAGTGCTTTTGGATAAACCAAACACCCCCTCGAAAACTTAGAGAAATAAACGCTCATTTAACTTATATTCATTCAATAAAATCAATGAGATGACATCCATTTTAAACACATCCAACAGCCAAATCAAATGCCTCCATGACATGAATGAGGGTGGTTAGAAAATGATATTGAAAAATCTCGTTTTTTTTAAATATCAGTCTAACAAAAATAACCTTTTTTACCTACATTTGGGAAAGTAAGATTTAAGCAGCAAAACATATTATAGCAAAATTAATTAGGTTGCAAAATTGAGCTTCCAAAATAAAAAATTGACATGATTGTTAATTATAAGCTTAAAATATAAGTTATAATTCCTATAAGATAGGGATTCAGGGGAAATTTTCTTAACAAGACACTTAAAGACACTAAATTTTTGTCTAGATCATTAAATTTGTCATACTTTTAATTAGGTCACATAATCTAATGAATCATTTTAAATTTCTAATGTCATTTTTATTAGAAACCAAAAGAAAACTTCAAATTAACATATTTTATTTTGCAGTTAATATGTTTGAATTCTAAATTAACAACTTTCTGTCAAATGAAACTATTGGGATTAAGTCAGGAAGACTTTATATAAAAAATAGCATCCTTTCCCTATTGACCGATTTCCGATTTTTGCAATGGTAGATGCTAAGTTTTTCTTATTTAGAACTCTTACACAACATGAGAATGATAGAAAATTTTCTTCTCTCTAGTTTTTTAATAAAAAGGGCATTAGGGTCATTTCAAAAAATTTTAAAATCTCTCTGAGTTATGTGATCTAATTAAGACTTTGACGAATTCAATGACCAAATTAAGAATTTGAGTTATTTAAGTATCTTTTTAGGCAATTTAGCCTTATAAGATATGTGAAAATATTATACTTAAAATTTGAATTCGTTGATGATAATTGGATATTTAATTATTCTGAAAAAAGAATATTGGGAAAATTCCTTAAAAAACAGTTAACTAACTTAAATCCTTATTTAAGTCGCTAAATTTATCAAACCCCTAATAGGGTCACATGATCTAAAGAGAGATTTTAAAATTTTATGAAATAACTCTAATGATCCTTTCATTAGAATATTTTATTTTACAGTTAACACATTTTAACTCTAAATTAACAACTTTCTATCTTTATAATTCACTTATATAGCAAGTCTTTAATAAAATTTTATTACAATACAACTTTCAAAATTAAGAAGTTCAATTATGTAGTTAAGAAGTTTCAGTTCTAAAATTAACAACATTATATCTCTATATCATACTTGCAACAAGTCTTTAATAAAACTTAATCATAATATTATCTTCAAAATTAACATGTTCCATTTCAATACGTTTCAATTTTAAATTAACAACTTTTTATCTCCATAGCACACTTGTAACAAGATTTTGAATAAAACTTAAGTAATAAGGTGCTTAAATGCCTCAAAAGTATACACAAATGAACATTCAACACCTGAAAGTTTTTTTTGGCTCTTATAGGCCCTCTAAGTTTTATTTTTTAGCATTTCTACCTTGAACTATTATCCGCCATTAATTTTGACCGTTAAAGACACATGTCAAACTGCATAACTTAATAGCAGATAATTGCTAGGATATTTTTGCTAAAGAAAATAAACTTTCAAGGTATATAAGAGCTAAAAAAAACTTTCAGGTGTTGAGTGCTTCTTTATGGATATTTTCGGAGTATTTAAGTATCTTATCCTTAAAACTTGATACAATATAACCTTGAAAGTTAATATGTTACAATTTATAGTTAATACGTTTCAATTCTGAATTGACAATTTTCAATTCCTATAACACACTTACAGTAAAACTTGATTACAATACAACATTAAAAATTAACAAGCTCAATTATATAGTTAACAAGTTTTAGTTTTAAATGTTCTAAATTAACAGCTTCATATCTGCATAACAAGCTTGTAATAAGTCTTTGAATAAAATTTTGTCATAATATAACCTCAAAAATTAACATGTTTCATCTCACAATTAACATATTTCTATTTTAAATTAACAATATTTTATCTTCATAGCACACTTGTAATAAGGAAGGAAGATTTAATATAAAAGTTAACTCACTTACTTGATCCGACTTTGCAATGATAGAAGCCAAGTATCTCTCATTTAGAGTTCTTACAAAATACGAAAATGATAGAAATTTTTATCTCTCTAGGTTTTTAACGAATGAGGCATTAGAGTAATTTCATAAAATTTTAAAATTCCTTTTTGGGTCATATGACTTGATTAGAAATTTGACAAATTTAATGATCCAAATAAGAATTTGAGTTATTAAAGTGTCTTTTTAATGAATTTTCCTAAGAATATTTTGATTTTCAAGATTGATAACACCTACGACGGTAATAATATGTGAAAATACAAAACTACCCTTAAAGAAGATAAAAATTATGGGAATAAAGTATATTTTTGCCCCAAAAGTTTTTGTTTAGGAGCTGTGAGTATTTAGAAGTTTTTTTTTTAAAGCAAAATCACCCTGGAAGTTTGCACATTGTAGCAATATCACTCTCGCCGTTATTGACCGTTGAATTTGACCGTTTAGGACATGTGGCGCTGGCACATGCATGGCACTCAATATGACCCCACTGCCACCTCACTGCCACCTGACACTTATTATTACACTTGCAATTTTTTTTTAAAAAAAAAAAACTTATTTTACCCATCGCCTTCAAGCTTCGTCATCTTCATCATTTTTTCCTTTCCACTATCATGTGGAATTGCAGAACTTATTAATGGTTAGACACATGGGAAGAAAACTATTTTGGAACAAAATTAAAGAGCATAGACTAATCTACTTTGAACCATTATTTACCATTCATAACATACCCAAATGATTTGAGTGCCGCAATATAAATCACTCCAATCACACAAGAAGCCCCTGAAGCCTGTTCAAATCCACCAACTTTGGTTTCTTTTTTTTTTTCCCGCTTTTCGAAGTTTTGAAAGTTAAAGGAAGATGATCAGCGAGGTGATGCTGGAAATTTAAACGAAGGAACATATAATGAGAGAGAGAAAGAAGAAAAGGAGGTCTAATTTTTATTTTTAATTTTTTTCATCCTCAATTTTTGATGAACAATCAACGGTGAGCAATCATGGTGGAGATAGTATAGGCCCGCCGACACCCTCTGCAACAAAATCAAGCAACTCTTAAGAGAAGAAGATGGATGTAAGACCGGCTCAACAGATCTGAAATTCCTAAAATAAAAGGAAGCATAGATCTGAAATTTCATTATGGCAGAACATAATGGATAATGAAGACTGGAAAAATCCAGGTTCGGTAAAGCAAGCGTTTTTTTTTTTTTTGCAGGTTTAATAGTAAGTGCCATGTGGCAGCGAGGTGGCATATTAAGTGCCATGTAACAGTACTATGTATCTTAAACGTTCAAATTTAACGTTCAATAACAACCAAAATGACATCGCTACAATTTGTAAACTTTCAGGGTGACATTGCTTTAAAAAAAATTCGGATATTCACAACTCCTCAATGAACCTTATTCCTAAAAATTATCCATCTCAAAAAAAAATTATACACGTACGTGAGCATAGACATATACGTCTACGCACCCTTCCTTAAATATAAGTCGCCAATACATGCCTCACATATGTTTAAAAATGAGATAAAGATACATAGCTCAACTAATGAAATTTTGTAACATAATTCAATCATTTTCCATCATTACACCTAATTAGAATAGTTTTTTTCTTCTTGAAAATTAAAAACAAAAATGAAAAAAATTATGTGTCAAGTAATGAGATAAAAAATAGATAAATAAGAAAAAAATTATGCAACAATATTTCAAATTAGTAGCAATACCAAACATTGGAAACTGATTCTCCTTTATATATATATATATATATATATATATATGATAATTCTATTTTATTCATATTAAGTTAAATAATAATTGGTTCCCACGTAAAATAGATAAATATGGCCTAATCCAAACCTAAATGGGCTTAACTTTTTTTTTTTGGGGTACCTACGTGCGCTAACTTAAAAGGCCCGACTAAAAGCCCTGGTTACTAATTTAGCTTTTCTCAGTTTAAAAGCCCTGCATTTTTTTTTTTGGGACCAGGTAAAAGCCCTGGCTATTAATTTAGTTTTTCCAAGTTTAGTCCTAAAACTTTGAGAAAATTATAGTTAGGTCCCACCCAAAAGAATTAAATACAAGAAGGTCCTTTAAAATCATCAAATTATTCTGAAATCCCAAGAAACCTCATTGCAAAAGATTTTATTTGTTTAGTTACCAAATTACCCCTTTTTTTTAAATTTTACATCAACAATTGAAAGAGTAGTCATTAACAACTTAGGGGGTAAGGATTAAAAATTATCACAATAGCTATTGACAACTCATGCGTTATATTTTTGTGATGCGCTGAGAAAATGTGTTGTCAATACTTGTCATGATAGTTGTTAATTATCACATATTAAGTTATTAATGACTGTTAATTTAGTTGTCAATGTAAAATTTAAAAAAAAATAATAAGGATAATTTAATAATTAAACAAATAAAATATTTTGCGATGAGGTCTTTTGAGATTTCAAAATAATTTGATGATTTTAAAGGATATTTTTATATTTAATTTTCTTAAGTGGGATTTTATTGCAATTTTTTCTAAAATTTTTCATATTTACTAACTCAAATTACCGGGTCTAATTTTTTGGGGACACGCAACAACCAGGCACATCCTTATAGTTGTCGACATTAGTATTTATTGCCATAATAACTAGGTATTTAATTATGTTTATCAGATAATATTCATCAAAATATGAACCCAT